TTTATGACTGTCCACCAGTTACAACTGATTTTACTCTCTTCGATTGTGTGACGCGTTGCTAATACGGAGAATAGATTCTAAAGAAATGTGCTATGGGTTGGTCAGCAAAGTTGCTATCATTAAGGTGCCTACTGCTTGATTGATGTCATTATTAGTTTGAAGAGTGACAGGATACGATGTAATCAAGAGTGAATGATTAATGAACTAAAATGTTCTAAGTTATTTGTAACCAGTACAGAATCTTGTTGTTGTTGCTGCTGCTGTTGGCAGTCGCAGTGGCGATGCAGTTGTCCTGATTGTCTAAAAGAACGTAGGTAGGATAGAAAGGGCAAACTAATAAGATAAGATGAATGTCTGCCCATTTTCTAGGAACACGTTCAGTATAAATATGCTTACGAGTGTGTGTGTGTGTGTGCAAGGGTGTTTTGTAATACCCATGTGACTAAAAAATATGATGATACATAGGTATATGTTATACATCCATGACATCTTTTGACCTTGCAAGACCAACTTGCAGTAATCACAACTGGATGGACAACACACGCAATGAGTAATATTAAGAAATTTTCGGTTTGTAATGTGCTGGTCTTTGGTGTTCCTAATAAATTAATTACGTACATACAGCGTGTACGCATACGGTTTCATTTTGCGGTAGGGAACCGCCAATACGTTTTTGAGAAGATCTGCCACAACAGGAACACGACAGAACCCCGTCCATGACATCACTCGGACAAAAAAGTGAATGGCAGAACGAGACAGAAGGTCGTCGTGTGGCGAAGTGCTTTGGCTGCTTGATCTTGACCTGCGAAAGCAATGTTTTTGAATGGCAGACAGTCTTACCTATCAACGGCTTGTCACGGTCGTTGTCCACTGCCGAGATAGGCTGTTACCGAGCGCCAATTAATGATGACAAAAGGTTAACCGTTGGAAGAGACCGCGTCTGGATGGCGGATTTCCGTTGCGGGAAATGTTCAGTGGTCAAAAATCTAAGATTGAACAAAAGCCCTAATAAAGCGGAATGAATAAACATGGCCACATCTTGCTGATAGTGCATTTATCCTGTATTTTCAAGTGTACGTACCTTTTATTGATCGATCAAGAATATGCCTAATTAAATCTCTGCGTAATGTTTGTATTCATATATGCTAAAAGTTGATATCTTTTAGGTATCCATACATCAAAAAAGAATCGAACTAACGTACATTGTTGTGGGTCCCTCTTTACGGTTGGCCATGATCGACAATGGACTTGATTGTGAGCGCCAGAGAAATGCACTTCCTATCTATCTCTGCTCTGTTTCGCCGCCTTTTGTACACCATTGCTTGAGCTTGCTAACCGGGAGCCTATACATGGGAAATGAGCAGTCACGTGATACGGGGATATGCCACGGTACCGTTTTAACCAAAGGAAGTACAAGTTTGAATTACAATATTTTAGTGTACTTTATTGGATTCGTTGACTGTTACGACTGCAAGATGTACTGCTAGCGTACGTTTTTGATCTGTTCATCGTTGTGTTTATCCACGGCACCAAGCACAAAGTTATAAGTAGTCGTAGTTGTTATCATCATTTTCATCACAATGCTCTCGTGACGATAATTAGGATGTTGCTGACGCAGCACAGTCTGACACTGCGCAATAAATGAGTTCTGCTGCGCCCTCTTGCTTTAATTAAATTATCGCATAGGCGGCTTATCGCAGTTGGGAATCCTCGTCATATTAATTTAAGGTGTCAATAAAATAAATCACCAGGTTAAGACGGCTCTGGATGACTGATATCATTCGCACAAAACTGCAATGTCTCTGCATTGCATGATTCAGTCTCCATCATTCATATGAGTAAATGGATTTGACTAAATCATTCTAAAAAGCACGTATAAATAAATGACTGTCCCGTCTATAGAATACACTATACGACAAGTGTTAATAAGTTAGGAAACAACTAGGACAAACAAGCAGGCTGACGGATGATGGCCTGACTGTATGGATCTGTGAGCGTGCGTTTAGTCATGGTGCTTCCCGGAGTTCGTTTGTCAACCGGTTTTTGTTTCGCGCGCTGGCTGGCTCGTGTCGTTTTTGTCTTTAGAGCACAAGAAACTTCCCTTGTGCTCGCTCGTCATCGGGGTGGTCGCCGTTGCTTAGCCTCACTCGCTAGAAAAGTGCTAAGGATGTCGCATTTTTTCTCGTCTGCTCTAACCTGCGGGTATGAGCGTGCTTAGGCAGGTCCAGTTAAGTCGAATCAGGTTGAAATAAGACGGCGGCAGTCAGGGGAGGGGAACAGTAACAGATCGAGAGAAAAAAAAATGCTCAAGAGTTATTGAAGGTTGCTCCGGCTGCCATTAGGCGCACGGAGAGGGCAGCGCGACATCGCAGGACCAGGGAGGTACGGCAGAACGGTAACCTATGGCTCGCTTGATACTTGCCGGTGGCATCAGTAGCAGCGACAGCAAATCAACGACCGCAGTCACCCGTAGGATTACCCGAACTGGCAGATGCTGCAGTTGAGACAGTGCTTAATATAATGCTGCCTGCTTAAAGCTATAGTAACGATGCTGCCTGATTCGTTTTTAGTGTCACTGCTGCTGCTGCTGATAACAGCTCCTCAGACCATGAAAGGTGCCTCTGCTACTTTGCGAGAGTTGCTCAGAGATCGCGCTTCTCGTAATAGGCGATCGTGCCTGTGATCGCCGCCGTTGTTAATAGAGTCTCGATGTTGCACGATATCGACTTTGGAGGGTATTACCATAACCGTTCACGGCGAACAGACGCCATACTCAGCAACAGATAATAGTACTAGCATCAGTGGTAGCAAATGCAACGCAACAAACAGAGTAAGGGCCAGCCAGTCAGTGTCCATTTGTGGGTCTTTCGCTGAACGGCGCATTCGGCGCGCGTTCGGTGCTACCCGCAGCCGCAGAGCAGCAAAAACAGCAGTAGGAGCTGCTACGACGGCAGCGGAGATCAGCTCTTTGAAAGGAAGAGGAGGCGAAGGTTGAGGTTGTTCTTGGTCGCTGTGCTACTAGCCGGACCTGCTAGAGCCTGATCTTAGCCAACCATATCGCCAGTCAGTCAGCCAGTTCTCTTCGAGTTTAATCAGAGGTTAGGTTGAGGGCGGTGCTTGTGCTAGTCTTTGTCGCGGCGTTGGTGGCGTTTTTGGTAGCGAGGTACGGTAGTTCCGTCAACGATCAGCCGATCTGCAGACGAAAGGGCAGAACTGAACGACGAGAGGAGCGAAAAGGTGATTACTGTTGATCTCTGCTCTCTGTTTTGGCAGTTCTTGATTCTCTCAAATTCATCGTTGTGTACTCGTGGCTCAGTAACGCGGCAAAAGTGACTCTGGCTAATAAGACAGTCGAAGCACAGCTTAACCGCTGCATGACACTGGTATCCGCAGTAATACCAGTGATCCTTCCGACAACGGTGCGAGCTATGACCGTCAGCGTTGAGGCTACTGGCAACCATAGAAGGAACTTACTGAACACAAGCACAGGGAAAAAGAGTGCTACCCTCTTAACGTCATAGCATAACGAAGATAAGACGAGACGCAACAACACGTTCAAGCTGTTGGGTTCACCGTAACGCTTGTGCCCGTGAATATTGGTTAGTGTTGAAGTGCCTTTACGTGTGTATGTGTGCGTACGTGTGAGTGTAGATACGTATAAATGAAATGGTTAGGAATCGGTCTTTGGGTTTGGGCTTTGAGGTTGCTGCATATTAGATTACGGGTCAGCACCGTCAAGTGTTTGGCCTCCGTCGTTATGCGACCGATGCTCTCCGATTTTTTTTAAACTCCATCTAAAAAGAGAAGGAAGACCAGATACGAGAAAACTCCACAAAAAAACAAAGGAACAATGCTTAAATGAACTTATTTACTATGTGTGAACTTTCCCTGTCTTATAGACGGCAGGCGCAGCATATGCGTGTTTTCAGCCAACAATTACTAAGTGCTAAAGTGTTGTATAGTTCTTTTTCCCGGGAAGCGGTTGCCGTCGTCATCTCATTTACATGTGTGGCTTGTTGTTACCAAAGCGTGGTGTTACACTAATTGTAAAGGTAATGTGACTTAAAGCTAACGTTGCCTTGTGGAAGGACAGACATCCGAAGCCGTGATACGTATGGACTTTTTACCAGCCTCGCGACTGTAGTAACATTTGATGACCATGGAACAGTCTACATTCGTAATAGATATATCCGTTAGTGATGTTAATGTGACTTTTCGTCATGATATAAAGATATGACTCTACAATGTGTAGTGAATAATTGAGTAGGATATAATCATATATCCTGACCTACATGCATAAGGGTCAAGCTAGAAACAGAAAGAATAAGAAGAAAGGATTAAAATTAAAAAAATATATATATATAACGCAGGAGCTACGTCTTATATTGTATGCGCTCGTTATAGTAAGATGACTAAGGGTCATCTTTGTGCCAGAATCAGTTTCGCCTCATAATCTGAATCTTCGTTCTCTCACGCTTATCTGTGCACCGATTGAGTCATCCTTTCTCTGAACTTTGCATTTTAACCGCTTCATACGATGAAGTTGTTTCGTCGTTCGCGTTCTGCTTGCAGACGTTATGACCTTCAGTTGAGCGATACCGACAATAGGTCAGCGATTGGTGTAGAATCGCACCATTATCAGTATCAGTATGAACACCATGAGCAGCCATGTCTACAGGAGCCGCAGTTGCCGTTGCAATGGTCTTCTTCTTTTTCTGCTGATATAAAGGGAGAACACAGCAGCAGCAGCTGCCAGGGGGTTACGCGTGGTAGAGAGGAAGTAAATCGGGTAGCTGGTGGAGTCGGGGGTGGTGGCGGTAGCGGGGGGTCTCGCGTGGCTGGCAGCTGGCGCAGCTTTGCCGCGTATCAATTGGGTTACAGTAGCCACGAACCGAAAAATAAGAAGAAAGACGAAGTGGAGGAGCATTTGCTCGGTAACTGCTTTGGTCTTGGGATTGCTGATGTCGTTGTTGTTGCATGCCGTGATGTGACGTCTTCAGATCAGCTGACGCAGACGGAGTTCGAGTTCGTTGGCAGCCGTCGGCACACCCTACAGTATACACCCCGAACTTCGACGTTGCCGCTCAATGTTGCCAGTCCAGGATCGCATCATAGACAACCCCTGTCGCCAGGTAACGAAAGACAAGAAGAGACATTTAATCGTCTATAATCAATCATAGACCAGAATCCCATCAACCATAATATCTTGCAACCAACCCGCCAGTCAACAGACATTTGCCCTTTGCAGGTGTCTACCATCTGCACGTCATTATTACCAGTCGTTACCTTCTGTGGCATCGTATACTGCAACAAAGAAAAACAAAAAAAAAAGTGAATGCAACGAAGAGATGTATTATAAAAAGGCTGAGGAGCTAAAGTTTGCTGGCTCACGTGTGTTACGCTTGTCGTGATTACGAGGCATTTCGAAGAGAGATCAGTGATTGTTAAGGGAAGAGATTGACAAATTAGGGTTGTCTATTGGTCGAGCTTCACCGGCGATCACAGACGTATATTGAAGTGTATTGAATAGACTGACCGTGTCGAACTAACGAGGACAGATCGATTGTGCTCCTCAATAAATTCCCGTCAAGATATAATTTGCTGCATCCTACGCTGTCTATTATCGGTCCCATTGATCTGCATGAAGCTGCCTAAGCTATCATAATATTTGTGCCGATGACTAACCGGGTTACGATCCTTCACCCTTACTTCAAACGGCTACCCTGAGCATGCTGAAATACAAAATATCTCATATGTTTCCTGTCATTGTTCATATGCCTTATGGAGTTTCCATATCGTTATTGTAGTTGCTCATGCATGCATCTTTTGTCAACTAAGCATGTGTTTGTTTCAAATGATCTAGAAAGCACCCTCATTCACAACATGATCCATGATATAGACACGAGACTGATTGACAAGTTTTACATGTTTTTGCCTAAAAATTGAAAATAGCTATGGAAATTGTGACTGTTCGTAGCGCTCCTGGCTAGTCATTCGATAGCTAGTCATTTAATGATTGTTAATATTTTTTTACATGATTTAAACATCAGTAGTTCGGTCCGGAAAATCATCAGGTGGAACAACCATAACGACAATAGCTTGTCCTATTATACGTCTCAAACATGCGTTTGAAATGATCTGTCACAGCTGGAATAATTCCACTGCTCGACACCGTCAGAAACGGTGCGCTAGGGCCTACGTACAACTTATGACGTTAGAAAAGGCGCGGAACTGGGAAAAATGGACGCGCTGGAACTCGGTCTTGTTCGAATTACGGTACGAGAAACTATTGAGCCGCACAAAAACGTTAGTTGGAAAGATACGATGATAACTTGTAGGTTTTAATTGTAACGTCATTTTATTATTATTGACATCTCATTACAGAAGTGCCTCGTAGCATCGCTGTCAAGTTCCAACGAATATCGGTAATAATGGTGCAGCAATGTTATCATCTAAAATATATCTTTTAGTTTATATTGGACAAGCTGAATGTCCCCGCTCCGTTCGTTTGCTTAAGCAAACTATCGTATCCAAAACATACGCAAGAACGTTAATGCACGTTTATAAATCGTCTATTACGCTAAATAGACCTTCTGGTAACTGTGCGGACACTTTTCATAATAATTAACTTAATATCTTTTTCTTTTTCTAACAGCTTCAATATAATTAGCGTACAAACAGCAAATGTAATGACGTTGTTTGTCGTAGATGGTTGGGTGATTGAACAAGTGGCTAGGTTGATCTAAAGGGCATTGTGTATCAGTTCTAGTTTCCATAACCTGTTCCTTTGTCGTTTGCGGCTCAACCTTCTACTATTGGTCTTTATGTAAATCACCTTACACAGTGCTAACGTGGAGAAGAGCAAATAATCAGAGATAATAAGCGAAATCGGAGCGCAGCTCTGGCGTAAGTACATTCATAGATAGTGCTCTGGAAGAGTTTATTCAGAATTATGTTGGTCTCTCGAACCAGCTCGCAGCAAAAGGCAGACCGCTCATGTCATCCAAGGCGAGTCGTTTCAAATGACAGAACCCACTGTTAATAGCTGCCATAATATAATAACTATTGAAAGCTGACCCCCGGGAGGGGTAACGTTCAAAAAAGTAGTCGCGAGCGTAGGTGTTACTTTCGAATAGTTTTAGCAGGTATGGATCTTGTATAACACTGTGCACCCCTCTGATCTGAATAACTTGTCAGCAAAACTGCATTCAAATTTGTAAAAGGTGAGGGTGGGCAGGCAAGCTTAATCAAAAGTATCCAATTTTGCTTCAAGCTATTAGAACATGGATTTGTTTGGCATATCAGGCAACGTCACAGCAGACATAAACATTTCTAAGTCACAGTTTGATCATTAATCACCGGGTGCAAAGTTCGATACAGGCCGACAATATTACTGTCGTAAGCCGTTTCGATTGCCGACTAATGAGTTTACTAGACGGGCAACAATATCATCGAAAAGCTTCATCAAGGCCTAGGTTTCGTTTCACGCGTGTAAGGCCCCATGAACGGGTCGCAGATGTACTATTTAAACTTCTAAAGTGATCATCTTGTCTATGATGATAGCACTAATAACCGTACACATTGCAGCTGTTGGCGAGACGTTTGTGGTACCTGGTGCTTTCTTTCATCGTCGATATTTGCGAGCACGCAACCTTAACCGCTGCCCTTACCGCTATATCTTGAAATGTTTTTGTCATTTTTCCTCTGACGCGCACAAATGGCGTGACGCCGGTGTACAAATCAGTCAATGTGCTGCAATTCGTTGATTTGTGTATTCGTTCGCTTTTGATACTGGCAGCGTGACTGGCTCCATTTAAAGACTGCCGGTCGAAAGACAATGAGGGAAAGGGACAATGCGCGTGTGAAGGGAAGATGGCAGTAACTAATCTCGTTAGCATTGCAGTGCCCGCTTAGGGAGTCGACGCACAACAGCCACTACTCTTTGTCAGCCGTAGGTTTGTCGCGCGAAAGCAGCTGTGTATATATAAGTCTGTTGATATGTCTGTGTGCGTGCATCTTTTGTTAAGCTATAGGCTTTCAGACTTGGCTTTGTTCTACACTGTAACCCATCGGACTGACTTTGCTGTTGTTTTGGAGACTTGGCCTTCATCGTGGCTGTTGTAGCGTATTCCTCGCTATAATGTACCTCTATCCACACACCGTATTAGACGTTGATGTTACGGTGCATTGCGCTGCACTTTGTTGGGCTGACCGACGACTACAACAAACCAACACGACGGTCCCTAAACCATTGCCATTCAGTTGATAGAGTGAAGAGCAGAATAGCTGCTACTATTCCCGCCGCCACTGTTCCTTGGCAGCGCCTGACCAGCAGGAAAAGCAAACGTCGTTGTCGTTGCTGCCGCTGCGATCTTCGCCGTAAGCAGAAATTGCCAGCCTATCCAGCCAAGCAAGCATCGAAAACGAGAGGCAAGTAGCAATCAGGAGACAGATGAACCAGCCAGACTGTTTCTTACCTTCTTTCTCCTATCGCTCCCTCTTTTCCCGTTGTTGTTCGCAGGGACGGCCGACAATGTTCGTTTCGTTCGTCCGCTCCTACCTCAGATCTGGCCCCTAAAGTGGTTGTTGGAGTCGCTACAGCAGTAACTGCCGTCGTGGCTGCCGCAACCATAGCCGCTATTACTATTGTTGAAGACCGGAGCGCCGGAGTCCGAGGCACTGGCTGTCCGGCGACCCGCGCTCTTGACTTCTTCGCTGGAGAAGCCGTCCTACGGTCCTAGCGGTTGCAGCGGTCACAGGAACTACTTTACATGCCACATACACACACACATACACACACACACACACACACACACACGCTCACACACATAGATACAGACAGACTGGTTGTATTATTGTTGTTGCCGCAACACGCAGTGCTACACAGGACGTCGTCTAGCAAAGGTAGCACCACCACCGCTAGTTTTGCGAGCAGCACTCTGCCAAACTAAGTCAGTTCCGAAGCACTCCCAAGACGTAAGGAAGTCCGAGGAGCTCTGACACCAGCTGCTGTCGACGTCGTCGTAAACGTTCATTACAAAAAAGCCGGCGCCAGAACGGAGCTCTTGACTAGCACTAATGCTATTATTACAATGGTCACTCAGTACGCAGTGGCTGATTGCAGGCGGGAGCATTGTGCTAAAATCTGTCCAGAGTCCATTATAGTGTTAGTGGATTCGAACGCGATCTGAGTGAAGCGTCTGGCGAAGGTACTCGGAGCCTTTTTACGATTAATCTAGTGTGTCATGGTCGTCCGATGTGTAAAAACAAGGAATTTTCCTATGAAAGACAACCGTGAAGGGACAAACCTAGGGTCACCGTCATCTTCACAGACGAGAGCCGAGAAAATCGGGGATATATGGACAGGAAAGAAAAGGCAACCCTTTATGCCAGATCCGGTGATCTAGAGATCTGTGCCTGTGTGAACGACAAACAGAGTTGGACCCCTTTTCTGTCTTGCTCCAGATAAGGCGCATCGGTCTGAATGTTTCGTGTTGGTACGAACATGCACGTTTAGCAGGTTTGTTGCAAGCACTGTCAAAAGGTTGTGCAGTTGTCCGCCTTTTGCGCCGTGACACGCCGGTGCAATCTACGAATGATGAGCACGTAGGGCTGTTGTTACCGTTATTGTGAGGATACCTGTGAACTAAAATACAACAGATGAACACGCACACAAACACACACGCAGACATGCGTTTCTAAGCGGATAAAGAGAACGAGTCAATGTGGAAAAGACTAGTGATGAAGTAGTGCACCTATATTCTCTTTTGGTGTTTTTCAAGGATTGCCTTCGAAATGGATACAGTTGATCGGATGTGGAAAACACTACAACGATTTAAAGGTATTATAAAAAATCCATTTGTTCGTTCATTTGTGTCAAACGAAAGGGAGTAATGTCTACTCTGGGTAGCGTACATCGTTGCACTCATACGGCATAATTGTCAATTTCTTTAGCTTTCATTCCCAGACTCGATTACCTATTATTTGTCAGGATAGATAATTGATTACACATAGAACGGCTATTTTTACGTGCCCTTTACAACGGATTTAAAATCATGCAAACGCAAAGATAGATTTCACACTCTAATACCCTCAATTCGGGCTGTTTTGTTTTGTTAGGCTATTGTCTTTTATCGAATTTTTTAATAATCGTTAAGTAATTTTAGCATTTTTCGAACGAACACGGGCCGGAAACGCCGTCCGGTAAGATATGATATTATCAAAAATTTCTCGTTATCAAGCCTGGCCCTTGTCAAATGTTCGTACATACGTCTCATCCAAGTAAGGTTTGCTTTTATACGTATGTATATTATTTCGTTTTCAATAGCCCATCTTCGTAGAAGTTCGACCGACACAGGGGCGCATGATTACAATTTTCCAAAGATAATTTCCCCATAATTGTATTACCCCTATTATCTGTAATTGTCATTACCGTAATTTTTTGGCCACTTAAGTATATACACGTATTGTATTTGTCTGTAGACTTCTGGGTTTGTGACTGGGCCATGAAACAGCCAACTGTCATTTACTTTCTGTCTCAGCCGTAATAATGGTTTGTGGCCGTCTAGAGGGTTGTTGACGCTCCCTCTCGCTATTGCAGTTTCAACCGTTTCATAACAAAATGCCCCCTTTCCGGGTCCGTTACTTGTCCGCTGTTGAACAAATTACAAACGCATATAGACACACCTATCGATCTGCTATGCCAACGTTTCCATAATAAAAACAAATTAATAAACTGGCGAACGACGCAAGCAACTGACGCCATGGGAACTGAAGTCTACTGGTATAGAATAGATTCAAACTGTGGCCACTGATCGGTGCCGCGGTTTTTGCTGCTGACCGCGGCGGTGACGGCGATGCTGATAGTGTTAAGCAGAGCGCAATCGGCAGTTTTCGCTTGAGAGAGCTCCTGCCGTCGGTCAGCAACATGCCAACGAAAAACTGATGCAGTTTATTGTTGCTACGACCCCCGTTGGCATCGGTGCTCGTTCTCTTGAGACTACGACTGGTTCAGTGCGTAACTAACTGAATAACGAGCGTTACTTGCCCTCTCTGTTTTAGTCGTTTTTGACGCGCTACCAAGTGCAGTCCAGCTGTTACTTCAACCTGACTTCTGCTTATTAGACGTCATAGCCGCTTCGTGTTAGCGGACTCGTTCGTTATAAAACGGTGATGAGCTTGCTATGTACCTGCTGATGTTTTACCACGCCGCTGCTGACATGTTTAATCACGTTATTGCGACGTATATTACGGGGCCGCTTAAACTGTTGTTGGTGTCATGCTCTCTGATTGGAACCTACTCGATACTAGTCGCGCACCTGTTTCTCTGCGGCGAACTTTTGTGTAGGATGATATTCCGGAAAGGTTCGTTTATCCACCATTGTGCAGTTATTTATGGTTTATCGTGCAATGACCGCTTATAGCGTCGTTCCTGCCCGCTTGTGTGTCGGATCATGCGGATTTCTTCAACCCGATGCTTTTGCTACATAACATTAGTTATTGAGCGATATTTCTTATCGGTTTGGGGATCAGGAGGTGCATATAAACAATTGTTAATTTATTATTTAAGTGCGATTCCAAAATGATTTTAACATATTACCGTGCTTATTGGCGTATCTAAGTGTGAATGTGCCGTGCCGTACCGTACCGTACCGTACCGTCGCTTGATGTAGCATAATTGATATACACGGAACGCCTACTCAGAGTTATATTTATCTAGCGTCATTAGTAATTGTATTGGAAATAGTATAGAACGCTATTGTTTAATTCGATAGTCTATATACATACACAACGAACCTGGTGATAAAAATCACATTGCCTATTGTCCTGCCACATAACTGTACTATTATTACGATAGAAAAAGTTACGAAACACGAAAAACTGACGAATTAATTGACTCACATACGAAAAGATGTGCTTTTGAACAACATTGCTCCATTTGTTCATCAGTTTCTTTACCGTTGGAACTACGCATTCTGCACTAATTTGCCCTGCTTTCGAAATGAGGCATGACACAGAAATCTAGTCGGTAGACCTTTGTTTCCAATGCTGCGCTATGTCCGCTTGCCGTTGTTCTGGCTGATTCTAACGATTCAGATTAGCGAAGTACGACGACGAGGGCAAATTACTTTTTGAATGGTGTGCATATATATCACAATGTCCCTGAACGATCCTTCCCGCAAGTTTTATTTTTGCCAAAATGCTCCATTGGTGACAATTATGAATGGCTCAAGTATAGCCATTCTATCATATCGCCATTTTTTCTCCCCTCGAACGAGCGTCTTCGTGTTATTATCATCAAGTGAAAAATTCAATAAAGCTGATGGAAAACTTTGTTTTTTTCTACTCCATTGCACTGTTGTAGACACGTCATACGACAAAGCGTTGGAGAGCCGACGGAGTTCGGCGCCCTCGACGCCGGTGCTGGGGGTTCGACCTCCGCCAGTCTCTTCGTCTCTTCTCTCCGATGATGCTGCTTCAACCGCCGCGTCGGATACGAACTCCACTTCTAGGTTCAGTGTAAGTAGCTCTAATACAATATATTCTGCTACAGTGTTGTGCGTTTGCTTTTTTATTTAGGTCAGTGTCAACGAAGAGAGCCGGCCCAACGAGAAGATTTTCAATATCCGATAAAGTTTCTCGTCGGCGTTTCATGTTCGTGACCTTTATTACTACAAGCTTGTTCCAGTGAAGCAAATCTATATTATTAAGTATGTGACCAACCGTGCCCAGTCGATGTATAGGGACTTCGTTATTTTTCTAATGCAAAAAGCTAAGTTTGCAAATCGATATACTATCCAGCCGAATACTTGACTACTTTGCGTCATGTTACGCTGTCGATCCCCCTGTGGATCGTGATCGTATGCTTAATAGTAGTGTTGACCGAACATGGTCAGATCTGAGGATCGGGTACTGCATCATTTACGTCTGGATCCTGGCAGCCCACATCCTTCGCCGCCATTGTAAAATAGCAATAACAAAAATCAATATAATACATATCGCTTTATTCTTATCACATTGAGGTTTAATGTATATAATTGGAAGCGCCTTAGACGTTTTCTTGACGGGTGCGTTTTTCACACAAATTGATGTTATTTCATATACGAATATTACCGTTTCCACATGTTTTTTGCGAAGCAGCGCCACGCCACGTAGGTAGCCTACTTACGACGCTAATGCATATGTCGCCAGTGTGGCCGTCACGTTACACTTCAGTATATAGTTGACGCGTGATAAACTGATGAGCCTTTCTGTGAAAACCGTTCTTTACGGATCGACTAAACGCTAACAGATCGTTCGGCCAGAATCTTTAGAGAATTAGATTCCAAAATCTAGTTGAGTTGCGTTTGTTGTTTCTGTTTTCCATCGACACTCGCCTCCTGCCTTATCGCGGCACATATTGAAATTAGCCTTTAATCTCTGAGCAGACAACTGAGTAAATATAAATATCTAACGCAAGCATCTGGCAAGGGTCGTGTGTACACGTATACGCCAAAACGTACACCTAATTGCTTAACGATAACGAGCCATCTATGTATATATATATTGTATGTGTATAGTGATTTCTGAAATGATGGCAAGGTTTCTGTCTTCCTGGCCGATTATGTACAGTCTCATGTCAATACCTAATTAATTCACCAGCTTCTATTTTAAGAGCCCAAATGTGACAGATACGAACGAATACTAGTACAACTATAAAGCCACAACGACGGCACATCCGGAAATATGCTCGTTTGAAAAGTGCTGGCGTTACACGCCATGGCCCTGCGCCAGTCGCCAATGACTGACCAGCGACTGCGCAGCCATCCGTAATTCTTGTAGACCCATTTTGAATGGGCGTTTTTTGATGTCAAAGCCAAAAACATTTTTGCTTCCTGTTTTGTTACAGCCCCACATTTTCGTCAACTGTCGGAACGCTTCGAGTTATTATCACTGGCGCTAACAGCGTCGCGTTGGACTAAGCGAGAGTCGCATATTGCCTCGTTCGATAGTTCTAGCTATTGTGTCAACTTAAAGTGATAGCTGCAGACGGAATAAATTCACAATATATTCCCAGTTATAGTCCACAGATTATCTGAAGTACTTCCTTGCTGATTAGCAAAATTTGGCTCAGCACAAATAAAAAGATGCTATTTAGATGATCTATTACAGATTTGCTTTCTATCTC